GAGAAAAAAAAAAAAAAAAAAAAAAAAAAAATGGGATTGACTGGTAAGAACGATTATCGTATAGTTCTGCTTCTCCGATTGTCGCAAAACTATTTAGAGAGAAACGGAGTGGGAAAAGCGAAAGAAAGATAAAAGACTAGGACGAAGAGTAGCTAGGAATGGTGGAAACGTGGGAAGAAGGGTTTCCGATATGTAATTTCCGTGGAGCTCGAAAATAACGAAACGAAACGAAAGGAATCGGCGGAAAAAATCGGTATTTGTACGCAAAGATGAAACGAACGCATGGAACTTACCACGAATGTTGGAACATCGTCGTCGAACTCGAGAGAACCAAGTGGTGGCGTAGTCTTCCTCGTCGCAGACGGAGTCGTTGTAGCTGGCGAGTTCTTTACAACGATTCAAGAAGGCATCGCTGTAAATTCTTTGCTCGTTGTCCGTTTCGATGTCCAAACTCTCGGATGCGATCGTAGTGGTCGACGACGTCGTCGTGGTTGTCGGCGGCGTCGTTGTTATCGTTACACTGGACGTTGCCGGTGCCGTCCTTGTAACCGAGGACATGGTGATTAGTGGCAAGTCATTCGAAACGTGGTCATCGCGGGTTTTCGCGGATTCCATCGCGTCGATTCGTTGTTTTTTCGTGCAAGAAGTGTGTAGGTGCGCAAAGCGGTGGAAAAGGATGTCTATAGGAGGATCGTGATCGGCAGCTCGGTAAATGGCATTTGAAAACGCAACGTTTCCTACCATGTCGACGATTCTGAAACAAACGAACGAATCGTTATCGCGAGAAGTGGGAATTCGTAGAACTCGTAGCGGTTTAATAGGATTTCGTCGATCGCTCGTAAATCGCTCGTCGATGGTTCGTCGTTGATCATTGTTTCGAAAACATGGGATGCGATCGTTTCGCGTTCGTACGATTACCGGGAAATAAAGCGACCGAGATAAGAACGGTCGAAGACGAAGCGCCTCGAGGTCAACATAAACGTGGCGTTGGTCAGATTCGCTTTGCGCGTCATAATTCTTCGCCTCGATTGTTACGTCACGATTCACCATATTCGAAAGAAAGAGCGATTCGGTCTAGTTGCAAGATCGTTGCACGAGCGTTATGCAACGCAGCGCAACACAACGCGACTCAGCGCAACGCAGCGCAGCGCGTTACGAGGCAATCGTTACACTCCTATTCGTTCGTCGCGTCCGTCGCGTCCGTCGTGTCCGTTCGTATTCGTTCGTATTTTTTCGTATTCCTTCGCTTCGCGTTCGGGTTCGCTCGTAATCGTTCGTATTCCCTCGTGTTTCCTCGTCTTTATTCGGATTCCCTCATCTTCACCGGCTGCTCGCACCGATCATCGAACGCTGGAATCGCAGGAAAATCTAAATAGTTGGTAGGACCGGCGGGATTTGAAATTGAGTTGCAGAGGTGCTCGGTGAACAAGGCGAGATCTCTGTCGCGACCTATCGATAAACATAGGCTTTATCTAGTGGCGAAAGCGAAGATACGAAGAGAGTAGTCTCGATGCAACGAAGAACAGTTGGAAAGAGTACAACGATCGGAGGAAAAAGAAGAAGCGTATATATTCGGAACGAGATGGACAATCGAGTGTTGGGGTCGGTCGAGGTCTACTTTAGGGATTTTTTTATCGGGTGTCCTTTTTTGTACGGTTACCAAGACGTAGCGAGGCTAACGAGGGTTAACTCGACTCTCAATTGACGGCGCGTGTCTAAATTGGCAGGTCGGGTATTGGAGTAGCAGAGGTCGATTGCGCGCGTTCGATCATCGATTTCGTCGATCGTGAGAGAAAAAGAAAAGGTTCGCACCTGGTTCGTTGCGATTTTCTTCCATAGAAATGCGATGCGTTAGCCGCGGTGATTCCGACAAGGTTCGTAAACTCGGAAACTCGTTAATTCGAGATAGACGGTTTTTCTCGTAGGCTAGTAATAGTGGTAGAAGTAGCGATGGTAATAGTAGTAGAGTCCGATGTTAGTCCGTATAGAGGCGGTCTGCTTGATCGGCGTCGAACTCGACTTTGACCTTTCTCTCGTTTTACGAAGTCCGAATCTATCGTTCGTGTCGACTGTTAACTATACGCGATCGAGACGTCCGCGATCGAGACGTCCGCGATCCGTGGTGGATTATTCGGTCGAAGGAGGCGATGTCGCGGGCGAATTACCTTCTTTCTCTACAATTCTCGGGCTTTGGCCGATGTGGCTGGGCAAACAGAGAGAGAGAGAGAGAGAGAGAGAGAGAGAGACGATGGCGAGCGATCACGCAATCCGAGTGTCCGTTGCCTCACGAACGGAAGAACGACGTCGTCCGTTTGATTCGACGCCGGTGTGTGCCCTCGAGATGTAGCGTGCACTCGAGCGCCGGGAATCGTACGGAAAGAGTATGTGACGTAGAAAGAAGAGAAACGAGAAGGAAGAAAAAGGAATATAGCATGAAAGCGAAGCGAGAAGGAAAGAGGGTGGGAAGCGATGGGAAGCGAACGCGTTAGTTCGGAGCGATTGAAAGGAACGCGTGCGCGCGCGGTAAAATGCAAGTTTGGTCGGTTGGACGGGAAAAGGAGGCGTTCGTCGCTCGAGTTATCGACTTACGTCACACGAAGATACTCGGATCCAACCGCGTTTCGAAGAACTCGAACTTTTTTTCGTTATCGTTATCGTCGTTCCCACGGCTTATCGCGCCAATCGTCCTTCTCGTCCGCGTCGCAGCGTCACATAGGCGCTCTTTCCGATCGAGTTTCGTTTATACTTGACCGTTTCCGTTTTTCACCGATTCGAATCGTTCGCGTCAGTTTGCAGATGTTCCTTTCCCATTTGGAAAAAATACCGAGGAAAACTGAACTCTCGTTATCGCGAGTGACCGCGGAGATGGTCGCGCGATCGTGATCGCGTGGTCGTGCTACGCTACGTCTACGATTTCCGACGCGCGACTGAGAGGATCGGTCTCGTGCTTAACGGAGCAAACTCGCGACGCTCACTAACTCAACCGCTAAACGAAACGTCGCGCGCGTGGAATCGCGCGAACTATACCGTCCTCTGTCGTCGTGTATGCCGTCCTATATGCCGTCTTATATGCAACCGTATGTGCCGACGTATAGTCGTCATCCTTATCCTCGTTTTCGTTCTCGTCCTTGCTACCGCTTCTACCATTCTTCCCAAGGGACTCGACACGCGGATTCCGTTTGTCTCGACGCGGTACTAAAGTTGGGAGGTGAGGTATAGAGAGAGAGAGAGAGAGAGAGAGCAGGATGTCACGTGGTAATAGAAGACAAACAAAGGGGAAGTCTGGGTATATGGTCTGGGTATGATGTATGACGTTATGCTGGATGATCGGACGTGGACAATGATTGGACTAGAGTAAGAGCGCGATGCATTCGCGGGAGAATTCGAGAGACGGAAATAGCGAGGTCGGCTTCGTCTAAAATTATTCGACGACCGATTCGAAAGGGTCGCGCCGGCTAGAGCGAAACCGTTCGCGTTTCCGTCAGTGCGTCGTTGGCGTTTTCGTCATCCTCTCGATCCTCGATCGTTCGTGGTGTATCGTTGATCCGTAACGTTCAACCAAGTTTTTCCGCGCGCGAACAAGCGGTCAAAGTTAGCCGAACGATCGAAATCTTGGTACAGGGTTTTCGCGGGTTGGACATGGCGGAAACGGAAGGAGGTTACAGAAACGTGTGCTCGCTGGAGACCCTGAGATCCGGCAAGAAAGGATTCTTCCGGGATTTCAGCGAGAACGTGTCCAGAGTGGCCGGAGAGCAGTGGATTTCCAAGGTTTTCGGACGACTGACTAGCGACGAGGAGCGGATTCGAACCATTTTCACCGACGGCAAGATAAAGGACTCGGTATCGGAGACGTTGAACAGGACGAGTATTCTGTATCGCGAGAAAGACGGGAACGCGTCGAGGACGAAGAGGCTGGAAGGATTGGAGGCTGCAGCCGCGGGCGAACGCCGGAAGGCTCTCTTGCTTCTCAGTCAAGCAGTTCTTCGGGCTCCTTCCCCAGGTTTCTCTCTTCCCGAGGAAAAATCATCGATCGTTCCATCCAACTCTACCCCCGCCCTCTCTCTCTCTCTCTCTCTCTCTCTCTCTCTCTCTGTCTCTCGCTTATCTGCCATTTCTATTTTCAGGGAAATGTCGGACGATCGATCGAGGATTCGGATTGCCGCTCGCGTTTCTCGCGAGAGCCGATCATTTCCTAGCGTCGGACCAACCGGCGCTCGCTCTCGAGGATTTGAGCTTCGTCGAGGAGATGAATCGTGACCTCCCGGCCGAGTTGAGGTGAGACCGTGAATATATTATGATATTGTGATATATTATAACGATAAAATGAAAAATAACGATAAAACAGAAGCATATTCCCTTTTAGAGTACAATTTGCTCGGACGAAGGAGACGTGCGAGAAGCGGAAAGGAGAGAACGAGAAGAGTGTCGTGCCGGTGATGGGACGAACATCGGAACGAAAGGGAACGTGGATCGCGACCGAGAACAAACGTAAGTTTCTGTCGATCTTTCTCTCTCTCGCTCTCCGTTGCCATTCCTCTGCTCCTCTCCCCAAATGCGCTGGACCGGCACACGATCGATTCGATAACGGAATATCGCGGAAAGAAAAAAGAAACGCGTAATCGAGGAGAGCGAAGCCGACGACGGTTTCCATGGAGATTGGCGGGTAATTTGAACAGCCGAAGAGCAGCGGCCGTGAACGGTTCGTTTTGGCTGTGACAGGATCGAACTAGTCCCGTCGTCGACGTGGAAACGAACGCCGTTATTTCCGATTCGAGACCGAGAGCGAGAAACGATCGAGAGTTGGTTTGGTCGTAGCGTTGCCTCGGCTGAGCGGTGGCAGAAATGCCCGACTACCGGCTGCTTCGGCGCTGTTGGAAATCGAGGAGACAGAGATGGCGGGCAAACGAGTGATCGCGGCCAAGCGCATAGATCCCGGAGATCGATTGGTCGTGGAAGCGCCGCACGCGTCTACCCTGTTACCGGAATTCTTCGGTACACATTGTCAACACTGTTTTTCGAGGTAAACGCTCGCTACTCAGACTTGCTTTACCTCGATCGTGATTGCGAACGTGATTGCGAACGTGATTGCGAACGTGATTGCAAACGTGATCGCGATCGTTACAGGTTCGTGGCTCCAGTGGGCTGTTCGGATTGCAGCAGCGTCGCGTTTTGCGGCAGAAAGTGCAGAGACGCGGCGATGGCGAGCTACCACAAGTACGAGTGTAAAATTCTCGCACTTCTGATAGGTAATCGCGTCTTCGCGTTATCAACTTTTCGCACGGTTACTTACCGTTTCCGCCTATTTCTCCCTTAGGCTCGGGAATGAGCGTTTTGAGCATGCTCGCTCTGCGAATGGTGACTCAACGTGGGGAGACCGGTTGCTACGAAATCTATGGTGCGTTGAATCAGCCGGATGTCGCAACCGAAAGGGTAACTACGCGGCCGTTGACCACTGCCGCGTCGGATGGTCCGACGAAGCAAAGCAAATCGGCGAAACGTCGTTCCAGGCGGAAGAGACTGCGTAATACGAGACGCGAGGGTGGAACACGAGGTGGGACGGAGGAGGAGGAGACGGAGCAACAGAGGAAAAAGGAAAACCCACGAGCCGACGAAGATGACGCGAAAGACGTCGACGATGACGTCGATCTGCGAGTATACGATCTCGTTACGCACGAGAAACGAAGAACGGCCAAGGACTTTTTCGAGAGATCTCTGATGGCGGCCTTTCTTCTCAAGTGTCTGCAAAGAGTTGGCTTTTTCGAGAAAACCACGAAAGACGAAGGTAGGTGAGCGTTCTTTGAATTCCACGTCCCTGGAATCGAAGTCTCGATACACGCGATCCTCTTTCGTTTCAGAGACGCCCAATGATCGAGAGATCGCGGTGGCGAGCCTACTGCTCAGACATCTTCAGCTGTTGCAGTTTAATGCCCACGAGGTGTTCGAGACGCGACTCGGAGCGGAGCATCGCTTTCGCGGTAGCCGGCCCGTGTATCTCGGTGTGGCTATTTATCCCACCGTTGCGCGTTTTAATCACGATTGTTATCCGGCGGTGACCAGGTATACGCGGTGCATCGTTAACCGTCTTCCTCGATAACCAACACCGCCTTCTTTAACAGTTATCTGGTTTTCTCCAGATACTTTCTCGGCCGATTTATCGTGATTCGAGCAATTCGTAGTCTCTTACCAGGAGATGTGGTCGCTGAAAACTACGGCCCGATATTCACTAAACGAACTTTGGAGGAACGTCGAAGAACTCTGGCCGGAAGATATTGGTTTCGTTGCGAGTGCACCGCCTGTCGCGAAAACTGGCCACGCTTCGAAGCTTTGACCAATGATCACGTTAGACTCAGGTGGCTACTTTCCTCCTTTCTTACCCCCCGTATCTTTTCCTTTTGTTATCGATGAAACGCCGTTTCCGTTTGATTCGATCGCAGGTGCCCAACCGAGGGTTGTTCGAAACTTCATCGACGTCTGCGAGATTTCGATAGCCCCGTGCAATGCTCGACTTGTCGTCGGAAAGTCCACCTGAAACAGTCGCTCGACTGCGTGCGCGAATGCGAGCAGCTGTACGCACGAGGATTCGCCGCGATGGAAGAAGAAGAACCGGAAAGAGCGTTGAAGGCGTTCTTCGAAGCAGCGAACAAGTTTCATCGAGTCGCGGTACCGCCCCATAAGGACACCCACTTGGCCGAAATTGCAGCGAGTGCCTGCATGGCGGACGAAGGCACCGTCTACCGGCTCGACTCATTGTCTTCCGAGTCTTTGCATATTCGTTGATGCCTGTCATCTAGAACGATCAATGTAACGGAGTGGACTATGACGAAAAGAGAACAGAGACGACTGATGGTTGCTGATAAAACTTTGTCTTTATCGACTGCGGCTAGAATAAAACTGTTAAAAAGAAGTAACTTCTTGCTAGAATCGTGTCAAGGATCAGGAGAAAAGAAAAAGCAGGATCGATAGAAATCGTAACAAACATGACCTTCGGTTCGTGAGTTTTGCGATTTTTTTGGCATTTATTTTTTATAATGCACATGTTTCGTGAAAAAATTAAATTCCGTATATGAAAGCTTTTCCAAGTTTCGCATTTCGGTACAAAATTCACTGGGTTTAAGGAGTTAGGAATCGATCATAGAGGAAATTTGGATATGGATGAGGATTAGTAAGGAAGATATGCAGGAAGGTAATGGTACGAGTAAAGATGAAGGCAAAGGCAAAGGTAAAAGTGAAAATGTGAATGATGTGATGGTGATGATGATGATGATGATGATGATGATGATGATGATGATGATGATGATGATGATGATGATGATGATGATGATGATGATGATGATGATGATGATGATGATGATGATGATGATGACGATGATGAATGCTGCTGCTACTGCTGATGATGATGATGATGATGATGATAATGACAATGATGGTGTAGATGAGGATGAGGATGAGGATGTTGATGATTATAACGATGATGTAGATGAGGATAAGGTCGAGGATAGGGATGAGGATGAGGATGGAGATGGGGATGGAAATGAAGATGAAGATGAAGATGACGATGAGAATGAGAATGAGAATGATGAGGATAAAGATATGGATGACAAGGATAAAGATGAAGGGCAAAATGGAGGATAAGGTCGAGGACGAGGATAGGGATGAGATGGAGGAAAGCGGGATGGATCGTTAGGGGTGGTTTTGATCGACAGACGTCTCGGACACGCACGAAAGGCGCGACGCGTCCCGGTCGCGATCGGCGAGATCTACGTCTCCACTTTTAGCCGTAAATTAGATGATTGCGTTTTCTTCGAGAAATACGAGTATTTTCGCAACTTTCCTTTTTCGTTTCATTTTTCATCCTCCCTGTCCCTGGATCCGGGACAGCTCGTATCATTGCGATATCGTTCCTCGCGAAAAGCTGAATTAAAACTAATTGACTGTAGCAACGAGTGATACGCGAGTCGTAACGCGATCCTCTCGTTCTCGTCCCTCTCTCCTCGTGAACGAACGGATAACGCGATCTGAAAGCCTCGTGTCACCGTTGCCAGGAAGAACGAGGCAAGAGTATCGAGAGCGCCGAATACGCTTGCTATTCGACGTATGTCCAGGCCACCGTAAACGCTTCTCGATCGCTTCGTGATCGCTGTTTGCCTCAAAAGTGGCTGTGATCTTCGGTGTTGTTGCTCTTCTTCTGCTGCCTGTACATTGCGCTCGCACGCGTACACACTAGTCCGCTCGGTTCTTCTTCTTTTTTTCTTTTTCGTTTTCTTTTTCTTCGTACATTTTCTTTGCCTCTATTTCTTTTAATTCCGATATTCACAATCAACACATGCATTGTTCTTTTTTTGCATACAATTATAACGTTCTTCATCCAAGAGTCGCGTGTCTCTCATTTCCTTCGCGACTCCCGTCTTTCACGCTCTTGATCTCTCCTCTTCCTTCTCGCTATAAATCGTGTCCCGTGATAATGCTTTTTCCTTGTATCGACTCATCCGATGGAACCGTGAAATTCGATGCAAAAGGCACGAAACAACGAACAGCGTGCATAATCGTCGCGGCTATCCGACGACGATACCCCATTTTTTACCCCGTTCTCACTTTCATTTCGATCGATCGGTAAAGGAACGCGAGATCAGGCGTTACTATTTTCCACTTGACGCTATATTCATACGCACGCACATACACTCTCTTTCTCGCTTTTTTCCCACGTTCCACCACGCCACGCCTCGCCACTATTTTCTTCATTTTCTCCCGATCGTGTATTTCATCGTTCCAGGGCTTATCGCGAAAACACTGTAACGACTAACGCGCAAATCTTTTTATCGAAATTTATCGAATTATCCTGAAATATCCTTACGACGATGGTGACGACGACGACGACGTTAGCGATCAATAGAAATCACGACAAAAAAACAGGGACAAACAGAGACAAAAACTGAAAAATATGTTATGCACGTGAAATAAAATAAAAATCTGGCGCGTTAACGAATTGCGCGTTAAACTTTGAAACGTTTTGAAAGAAAATTGTACATTTTATTTTCCGACGATAGAACTACAAACTAAAATTTTAAAAATTGTTTCGTTTCCATGCAAAATTGTATAAATCTCTTTTGTCCTCTCTTACTCTCTTTCTCTCACACTCCCACTGTCACTCGCTCATTCGCTCATTCCCTCATTTATGCATTTTTTCATTCGTTCATTCGTTTATTCACCGATTCATTCACCCATTCCATTCTTTTTGTCACACACTGTTTTCTCCCTCGTCGTTTATTTACTCGTTTCTCTGACAAACCACACGTTTGCACTGTCAATCGAGAGGAAATTGCCGAAATTTTCGAGAATCGATACGTTCGAAGTAACGCGATGAAAATTACGGAAGAATTGACCAAATTTACAGTTAACCGATAACGCGTGACATATCGTTGCTAACGTCGGATAATACAATTACTCGTGTTTAAAGGTTATACCCTCCTGGGGCATGAAATATGTTATTTAGTACAAGCGACCGTAAAAATATCGCCGGTTGGTTACATGTCGCTAGATATACGATAGAACAGAGAATTTAGCGAGAATTTGCTATCGCGTTTAATCGTTAATATCACTGACAGCAAAGTATTCACCGCGAACGAACGAGGATCGAAGAGACAAAAGCGACACGACGGACGACAAATTTTTGAAACGAATCGACTCTTGCGTTTCAATGAAGAAAAAAAAAGAAACGGAGTAATTTCGAGAGAAACTGAAACGATCAAGCCGGCACAGTCACGGGTAAACACGCATTGCGTTTCGTAGTTTTCCAATATAATTGCGCGCGTATTTACCGATTACTTGTACGGACAAGAGAAAAACTCCGCGAGGATCGCGTTAAACTTAAAGACATACATATATGCGTAAAACGATCGAATGCGTTTCGTTGAAGAAAAATTAAAAACATATGAAACAATGAATACGCAAAAACAGGAACAAAAATACCACTTTCGCCAATTCGAATTCGTATTGTATCCCATCACCGTATTTTTTTTTCTTTCTCTTCGTTGTCTCCTCCACGATCGGGATATTACTTTTTCTAAACTTTGCGTACACCGAAATTCATCGCAGTCGCAATTTTCGTTTCCCGTCTTCACCGCCACCATCTAACGATATACTCCGAAATATACGATTTATACGTCCAAAGTCGCGGAGAAGTGAAGCAAACAACGCTCCAGGGCCATTTTCCTTTTCCACCTTTTCTTTGGAACGCGTGTGCTTGACATCGTTCGAATTCCAATAGGTATGAAATTTTCACAGAGATCTGTAAATTTTCGTGATACAAAATTATCGTACGGCGGTAAGTCCAATTCGAAAAAGTTTGTTCAATTGCATTCGATCCACAATGATCTTCTTTCTTCGCGACGAGGCTTTTCAGCGTTTTCTTCTGTCAACTAATTCCGGCAGCGTCTCGTACACGCTTCTGAATCTTCTTTATCTGCCGCCGGGGAGAGTGTTGAGCGGTGTTTTGCAATTTCTTTTTCATTTCTTGCTTTTTGTTTCGCTTTTTTTTTTTTTTTTTTTTTTTTTTTTTTTTTTTTTTTTTTTTTTTTTTTTTTTTTTTTTTTTTTTACTTTTTTCAATTGTTATGTTGTTGCTGCTTTGTTGCTGATGTGGTTGCTGTTATCGTTGCTGTTACTTCGGTGTATAACGGGTGTTGGTGTTATATATTAAAAGGAGTGTTTTTGTTGTAGTGGTACCATTACTCTTGGTTAAGCGGTGCTTTCGGTGGTAGTGTTTTGGACCGGCTGACTTTCCTACAAATCAAACGAACGGAGTTTCAACAGGATTGCTGCTTTTATTCGACCGAAAGAAATATTCTACCGATCCGCGATGATAGAGCGGAAATCAGCTTACGGTGGAAAAAAAAAAAGAAAAAAAAAGAAAAAAAGAAACGTATGATACAAGGGCGCGATGGAGTAGTAACTTGCGCAAATAAAGAGAACACGCTGGATAGGATCAGGGCTACTGAGATACCGGGAGAAACTAATCCCAAAAGTGTGAAGAGAAGAGTGTAGAGAAAAAAGTGTAGAGAGTTTAAAAAGTGGTGAGGAAAGTTACGGTGAGAAAGGAAATCGTAAAGCGGCGTATATGATCGAAAGGATACGGAGCAAGAGAAAAATAAAGGCATGTTACCTGTGGAGCAGGGTCAGCGACAGGTGCATCCATATCTATAGGTGCATCCGACTTCTGCTCCGACTGAAAAGAGTACAAAAAGATACGTGCAATAGTGTGTGTGCTAAGCGCTACGGTAAAGATTCGTCAACGGACCGAACAGTTGCGATTTCTGTGATCGCTGTGACAACGATGCGAAAAGAAACTAATGAAAAAAAGAAAAAGGAAATAAGGAGAAACGAAGAGAAAAATGAAAGAAAAAAAGAAAAAAAAGAAAAAAAATAGATACACAAATAGAGAGACAAATAGATACAAACGAAACAAATAGAGGCAAACGAAAACAAAAGTAAGTACAAAAAGGAAAAAGAAGGAAATAGGAAAAATGTACAAATGATCAAACTTACGGTAGGACATAAATAAAATAGGGCAGTATACAACATAGGAGCAAAAGAAACACAAGATATGTGCGATCCGTTGATGACGATGCAAATATATACAAGTGTATCATACAAGGAAAACTAACTGTTCGAAGAACGGACAATACAAAAACTCCGGACTAGCTTTCTAATCGATCCAAATAACCGTTCTTACTCTAGTTATCACTCTTCATACTCTAATACGTATCAACGATTCTCTCTCTCTCTCTCTCTCCTCTCTCTCTCCTCTCTCTCGCCCGGCCAAGTCAATTTCCCTTAATACGTCAACGTTACCAACGGAATCGATTCTTGATACGAGTTTGAAGAGAGCGATAGCGAAAGTGGTGCATCGAACGGTTTTCAAAATAGATTGCATGGTTCTAAAACTACCACGAATTCATCGCATCTAACAGGAAAACCGAAGAATTCTTATTAATCGATGACGATGACGATGACGATGACGATGACGATGACATTAACAACAACAACAACAACAACAACAACAACGACAACAAAAACTACCATGCAGGACCGTTGAATTGCTAGACTTAGCGAAATAGTATACAAAAGTTTATTACGATCGGAAAGAATTCTGTTGTTTCACGATCGATAATGGCCGTGAGTTAATTATCCATCGATCGATGTCCGAGATTCACACCGATCGAGATGGAGGAGTACGCGTTAAAAGACGACTGAAAAAGGTAACTATGAGAATAATCTCGCGCTAAATGGAGCGATAGAAAGCGGAGACCGAAGTAGGGGTGTATAGGTTTGGTAGTAATGGTAACGATGACAAGGGTATCGCGAAAGTGGATAAAGAAACGGATTAGTCGAGAAGAGAATTGTTACGGACTTTTACTTGACCGTCTTGGCTACGAGGACGTCGCGGAGGTCCACCACCTCTTCCCCCACGGAAATTGCGGCGGAAGTAACGACGGGACGGTCCTCCGCGTCCACGACCGCCACCGCGCGGCACACCACCGTCACCGCCAGTTTCGCCCCCTTGTTCGCCTCCTTCACCGGAGTTATCCCCTTGTTGTTGCGTCGACGGACCGGAGCGACGCGATCCACGATAGTAGCCGTCATACTGTCGTCGAACCCTGTAACGTCGCTGCTGTCCGCTACCCTCGCCAGAATTTGCTTCATTTCCGGTCTTGCCTTCGCCTGAAACAAACGCACCAGCGTGTTCGATCTCTGTTGTATGGTAAATCCGATTCGATTCCAACGAAAACGCAGATGCAGTCCAACTGCACCACTTACTCACACCGGCTTCGTAACCATCTTGACCTTCTCGAGGTCTGCGTTGAGTTCGAGTATTCCCACGTCTTTGACTGATGTACCAATGACTTCCGCGAAATGCGCGTCGCTTATCAGCAGCAAAAGGCGAACCTCTTACTGCCTCCCCGGATGGACCAGTAACATTAGCCGCTTCATGACCCTTCTCGCCTATTACAACATCAAATTCGACCGGTTCACCGTCACCGACACTGCGTACAGCCTTCCTTGGGTTGTTCTTCACGATGGCCGACTACGAGCGCACAGAATTAACAGCGATTACCGATTTACATATTCCAAATCCCCTTCTTTCGTTAGGTCAATTACGAAATTAAATGTACTCACTTGATGAACGAACACATCCTCCTTGGTGTCGTTCCTGAAATCAAACCAAACGAATCGTATGAATGATTTAATGATTAAATTAGACGAGAGCAGTCCTATTAGTTTTCATTTCCGCAAAAAGGGGAAAAGAAAAGCGAGGATTGTAAGCAATTACGAACGTAGAATCGGCAAGTTTCTGTACGTCTGAGATCTAGGATCAAACGGCGAATATTTCGTCACGCGATCCAATGGGTATACAGACGACCGCTGTTTGCTTTGCCACCATGTTTCCAATAATTCCGTTTAATCCGCGCAAAGGACACGGACAACGGTGCGAATGTATACGGTGGCGATTTGGTTATGGAGAAGGAAAAAAAAAGAAAAAATGCGTTTTGAAAAACGCAGGGCTACATCCGGTAAATTTGTTAAAAACATAATGCAACAAAAATTGCTACGTTACGCGAATTCAAACGATGCTTTGGCTACTGTCCAAACGCATAGTGCGTTCATTCGCCACCTATATATACCGGTGCATATTACGGGGCACGAAGCGATGGGGGGAAAAAGGGGAAAAGAAGGGGGAAAAAGGGGGAAAGAAGGGGGAACGAAGGGGGAAAAGAAGGGGAAGGAAGGGAAAGGAAGAGAAAGAAAGGAAACTACGAGGGAACGAACCGGCGCCAAGTGGGGTATACGTTAGCGGAGAGTGGGGATATGGATAGGAAGGTGCTAGAAATAGCCAAAGATAGAGCAACTACGAACGAACAAAGGTGGTTCGTTGATTCACACGTGTTAAACGAAGAGTCTATTTCGCGAATATGAGAACGTGTTTGGATCAGGGTTGCTAATGAATTCGAGCCAGGAAAAGCTACTCTACGATTGCTACATACCGAATTTGGCAATTCGATTAACGAATGGAACCGTAGTACAGGCGATCATCGATGAACCAACGATTCAGAGAAGCGCGATACCGTTTTTCCAAGGAAACTGTGAAAGGACAGTGCTGCCGGTAACCGATTTAATCACAACAATTCCTTGCCGTAGATATCGAAAAAAGAAAGAACGCTAGAATTAGGAGAGGTAAAGGAGGAAAGAAAAAAGAAAGAAGAGCGAGAGGGAAGAAGACGGAAAGCGGCAAATCGTTACTAACCTGTTGATGAATCCGTACCCACTCTTCACGTTGAACCACTTCACAGTCCCGGTCACTTTGTTAGCTGAAACCCAACAAAAACGAAATAGCTCTAATTAGATATCTAGCGCATAGCCTCGCGATATATTACACCATAAACCTACTCTTTTATTCGATTAAGCGATTTCTCCCATTCCATTTTTTCCAACATTTATCGCCCGCGTATCTGCTGTTTCGACGCTTTTCGAAAAATGCAATTCGACGATGCGCATAAAAATCGGAAGTGGCAATGCCGATGCGATGCGAATAAAGCAGGTGCATCGATCAACGGGTATATCGTGTTTACGCCATATTTCCTTCGCGACGAATATTTTCGCTCGCGAAATAGATTCGGGTATTTGCTAATCGCTACGATGTATTCGTAATCACGAGCGAATTATTCCCATGAAAATTCAATGTTTACGTAGCTAACGGTCATGTTACCGACAGCAATATAAACTGACGCAGCAGGGTGAACAATATACTTGTATATATCTAGAATTACATTCGATAACGGTTTTCTTTATTTCGGCATTAACTTCTTTTATCGAACGTCCCAATTTTCTTTTCAACTGCACCACCAAGGCTGGATATCCGAAACGAAGAACGTCGTTGGATACAACACTCGTGCTTCGTGTTCATAAACGAAATATGAAATACAAAATATTAAATAAACTAGAGATAAATCTGTGCAGCACATTCTGATTTAAGCCTTTCCTGTTTATTCAGCTCGACTCCTGGAAATTGTAATTCAAGTTTCACTCGAAGAAACCCCGATTACCCACGAGTCCAATTCAAAGTAGAAGCTAACGATAGCAGCGCGCTCCGTTCGCAAAGAAAACTAGTCGTTCGAACGGAAACGAACGTTAACGAATATCAAGAAACTTACGTAACGAAAGCCATGCCGCGTTCAATTTATCAAAAACTAGTTGAAAATGTACGAAAAAGCTGGCAAAGAAATTTCGAGAAGCCACGCGGGCATTTAATCGTGATGTAAGCACAAGATTTCGCGTTATATATTTTATCTCTGTTCGATGCGTAAGTTACCACATATAAATCGAACGACAAATGATAAATAACAGGATCGAAACGAAATAAAGAAAAATAAGAAATGAAAAAGCTATATCCAAGTATGTAATTTGTAATGCGTCTCTCCATCCTACGGTTTTTGATCTACATACACACACGTCTCCATTCCTCTCTTTCCTTTTTCTTTCTTTCTTCGTACTCACTCTCTCACACTCTCTCTCTCTCTCTCTCTCACACACACACACACACACACACACACACACTCTCACTCACTCACTCTTTCTCCCTCTCTCTTTCTCCCTCTGGTTTTCTCCACAGGGATTGAGGAGAAATTTAACGGAAATCGGTAGCCGATAACGCGTGTAAGTTTATTGTATTTGGAATGGAAAAAAGTAAAGAAAAAAAGAAAAAACAAGTGGGGAAAAATGAATTCCGAATCTGATCGATTCGTATACGAAGAATTCGAAACGATATAGATGAAAGTAAGGAGGATGGTGGCCGGTATACCGGCCACATGCCACATGGCTGAACGTCTGCTGTTCCCCTAGACGCCATTATTACATGCGGACAATCCTGCAGAAACGAATTCGCTCTCTTTCCACTCAATTTTTTCCACCGCCAGAATATACGCGAAACGTTTTTTGGGCTAAATGTACGGTTCACTCACCGATGACCAGCTTCTGCTGGACAGCCTTTGGTTGTTCGGGCTGTTTTTCCGGGTCAGCCATGGTGGTGGTGTTAAGGTGTTAAGACACGCCGCTGCCGAACCTAGATGTTCCCGTCTTTCTGGTTGTGGTGTTGGTTCCCTTCTAATGTTCCCAACATGGCTGCGCCTCCAGGCGACCGTACAAACATTCTTCTCGTCTAACGAGCTTTCCGATAGGTTGGCTCGCAAACAAACCCGCTCGTTCGACCAATCCTGTGGAGAGTTTCACGGAACGCGCGTGACGTAACTCACGCGTTACTTCCTCGGTTTCTTGTTCACTCGCTCGCTCTCCCGCGTACTCTCTTGCTCCCTTGACCGCGCGCGCCTTTTCTCTCATTCTCGATCTTCTGTACCGATCGCGTGCCATTCTACCTTATCATGATATCAATGAGCAACGAACGTTACGTTCCCTTAACTTTCTTACTCTTATTTATATCTCTTCCCTCAGCTTCCTTTCATTTTTCCCATTGCGCGCATCACGCCAAGTACGAGTAAAATTCCATTTTATTTCTCTCACCGGTGCCATTATTTCTTCTTTCCTTTCACGCAGCTAAATCCATTTATATTTTTCAACAGAAATACGATAGTTCCACTTTAGAATATTTTTAATACGCTATGTATAATAACTGCTACTACACTCGTGTATAAGAATCCTAATTTCTTTCTATGATGCAAAAACGACACGCTTGCAAATTTTAACCATTTTCACGATATCCGAAAGCCGGACAAATTTCCTATGTCGTATCTTTTTATAATAGTTATGTAGGATACATACATAACAACCAACCATTTGCTGGCATGACTCGTAACGAATCTAGCTTTGCTAATAAAATCCAATTGATAATAAATCATAAAACCGAATCATCGTGAGTATATAGGGAAAAAGGGGAATTAATTTTAATATATAAACCGCCAAGGACAAAGGTTGTAAAGGAACTTCGTCGAAAATATGAAATGGAACTCACGAACACTACTCATATTCGTATTTCTAATATTTTTTAAACTTTACAACTTTTTCTTTTCTCAGGAGATACATCTGTCTGGAAATGTAGAAAAAAATAATTACGCATTTCTTACATGGCATAGTGGAACGCACCATAGTGTTTCGTTACTTCTCTATGACGCTGCTTATTTCAATTGAGTATTTTCTGTTTTCCGATCGAACATGATTGTTCAATCATAAACATCGTAAACACTTGTGACTTACATTTTCATTTGTCGCACTTACGCCAATTTATCGGCGAGCGTCCATTAGTGCCCTTTTACTTCTGTTTAGCTCATTCTCTCACGGTTATTTCACTTTTTTCTCTTTTTCTTTCGAATCTTTGTTATCAACGGAACAAAACAAATGATCATCGTTTATTTGAATAAATTCTATTTTTCTATCCGAGTAGCTAATGAATGAAGAAAGAAAAAAAACACATGTTTCGATATCTTATTAATCGCAATTAAAAATAAAATGCGCTGTTAGAATTAAGCATCTCGACTTTCAAATCTCAGAAAGCTTCTCGAAATGTTGAGAATCCAAAAATCAATTTTATCGAAGCACAAGCTTTTCCTCTCTTCGTTTTATACGAAATATTATAAAGAAAAGTTTACAATCTTTAAATACCATATGTCCAAAATTCTTTAATTTTTGCATAGTATAAATGCCACTTGAATGACCTTTAACGTTTATCAACTCGAATTTTAGTAAGAGTTAGCAGATAAAGAGTAATTTTGCTTTGAATCCTCAACAATTGGCTCGATGAACGTTAAAAGTTAAATATACAGTGTTCTGTGAGTGAACACACTTTTAATATTCGATTCTTGTCAATAAAACAATTACGTGTTTTATTCTTCTATGTATATGTGCGTGTTTGTATGTGTATATGTATATATGTATATGTATTATAAGTATAATGTAACTTAAGCAGACCTTAAAACAATGATAGATAAAAATCTGCTTTAACATTTTCAAGGTATATATACAAGGTGGATAAATTTAACAACGGCGATAAATGTAACGTTAAAATGATAATTCTATTCTATAATTCTATCCTCGATCGAATAGAAGTGCATCAATTTGAAACATTACTCGATGCGAATCCACGAAATTACGATGCTAGAATTACAGAATAACAGTATTAAAAAGTCAAGTGTCGCGTTTATGTATTTCGACGAAGAACATTCTGCAAGTGCTAGCAAAATTTACATTCTCCATCATCTTAATTTTCTAGTTCGTATGTTTCTGGATCTTGGTGCTGTAGAACCACTTCCGATACTGAACATACCGGGCGTAGAAGCATTGAACGTCGTTGTAGAACTCGTCGTACCAAAGTTAATGGATGGAGTTGTTGATGAAGCGGCGAAATTAAACCCTGTACCTGAATTATTTTAAATATATTAAATTGGTGACAAGCAATGAAAAAGTTACTATTAAAACGTGAGAAAGATTGGGAAACGTTGTACCTGAATTCGAAGTTGTTGTACCAAATTGGAAAGGTCCTGAACTAGGGGCAGCTACATTATTGTTGGTATTGTTGCTTCCGAAGGAAAACGCGGTAGTATTTTGTTGTCCTGGTTTTTGGTTTGCTCCAAAGGTAAATATATTGGTAGTGGTATTATTTCTATTAGTGTTAGTATTCCCAAAGGGCGGAGTAGACACATTAGGTGTTCCAAATGTCGAAGGCTGTGTTCCGAACGGAGAAAGTTTATTGTTGTCTCCGAATGTTACTGTGCCGTTGGCGCTGCCAGCGGTTGTCATGCCGAATGTAGAATTCGATGCAGCGGCGGCGTTTTGTCCAGGAAACGTGTTATTTGGTGCAGAAGAACTGAAATTAGTCGTACCGCTGTTCGAGGCTCCGAACACAGGACCAGCGGTGTTCTCGCCTCTGAATATCGAACTTCCGACACCAAAATTCTGCGAGCTAGAATTCTGTGCTCCTGGATTTCCTTTGTTTTGATTTTGCGACCCAAAGTCAGAAGTAACAGTATTTGGAGCGGTAAAACCCGGGACGGATGCGTTGTTCAAGGAAACATTCGTAGAACCAAAATTTGACGAAGGAGTCAAATTCTGACGAAGAAAGAATAACGTCGAAGCGTTGTTGTTTCCAATTGCTCCTGAATTGTTTTTAAAACTTGTAGCTGTTGACGAATTCGCTGGACCAAAAATATTGTTTGTCGTAGGAAATATAGATGTAGAAGTGGTTGTGTTTGTGCCCGAGAATAAATTAGTGCCGGCACTGCTGATTCCGCTAGTAGTTATTCCTGTAACGGAAGTATTCGTACTAGAACCAAACACGGGTATAGCAGTCGTGTTTGCTGTTCCTACAGAAGATCCACCACTGACATTTGAGAAGATAGGCATCGAATTTGTGGATACGAATCCCATCGAAGTAGTATTTACGTTAGATCCGAAAACCGACGTAGTCGTATTCTTCGAAATGGTAAAAGTAGTTGTGGTAGTATTTAAATTCGAAGATGCTGCTCCAAAAACAGGTTGATTAGTCGTCGTTGTTGCCCCGAATATCGATGAAGTGGATGGCGAATTAGTAAATATGGAACCGGTGTTCGAAACAAACTGAGTCGTGCTGCCAGTTGTTGACGAAGTTGTTCCAAAACTAGGAGTCGGCTTATTACTTTCGATGGCGAACAAAGTTGCGTTTGAGCTTCCACCGGTTACCGTGTTCGTTACAATCGGTGTATTACTGAAAGAAAAGCCAACGTTGCCGCCGTCGATCGTGGATGAAGTGGACCAGGGGCGAGTTGCAAATGTCGAATTTGTCGATGGTCCAAAGGTGGGTACGTTAGTTTTTGCGTTCGTGTCGAAACCCGTAGTAGTTGCAACATTTGTGACATTATTAACCTGCGTTCCATTAACATAATTTGACGTTGTTACTACATTACAAATCGTTGATGTCTGTTGAGTTGTAGTCGGACATCCAAACATTTTATTATTTTCTGACGGATTTTCTACAGAACCAGATACAAATCCTTCAGACTTGGGTGTTGTCGAAGCATTATTGATCTTGCTTCCAAATGTAAACAACGGAGTGGATGTATTTACGGTCGCTGTCATGGTCGAGATATTATTTGAACTAGCAATGCTTGTGATACCCGTGAATGGTATCACATTCGCTTTGTAGGCGGTTGATGTAGATTCAGCATGTTGCTCTTTTTTCTCCACATTATTTGCCATATTTGAAGGCACTGGGTTTGTAAGTGTTGATGTGAAAATTGCGCCGCCACTCGATACATTCGAACTTACCGGACCACTTTCTGCAGCTTGCGAAACGTTTATCTTTTGCTTGATTTGCGATGGTTCATTTTTCATATTCGCTGCAGTTGTATTTATGGAAACTGCTGTAGACAATGGTGTAGCTGCGACGGTGTTGCCAAAAATGCCAGCTGTTACAGGAGTAACTAGTGGAGATTTGCTATTCGGAGGAACAATACCAGACGCGAACGTGGTATGCGTTGTTGGAGTGCCTGACATCGACGTGATGAAACTGGATTTGCCGAAATCGAAATTTTGTACGTTCGAATTCATTGGATTCGTCGTATTTGCATTCGAAACAACAAGTTGACCTATACTGTTTGATTCTTTAGTAGTAAATGTAATTCCAGGAGCAGCATTGACCATTTTATTCACCGCAGAAGTTGCAGAATCGTTAATTTTTCTCTCAAACGTACTAGCAAACTGAGTGTTTGTATTTGAAGAAATATCTTTGTTTGGTAAAGTAAATGCCACATGTTTTGGTGACTTTGTATTCAATTCACTGGTACCAGGACTAGGTACCACGGCTGATGTAGAAATAGGTGTGGTATTGACGTTTGTAGTCGTAGTCGAAGAATTAAGAGTCACACAAGTAACAGGACACGTGACAGATTTAACAGCATTTACTTCTTCCGCCTGAATGACCACGTCAGGGTTAATCTGACTGGCTGCTAAAAATGTAAATAAAAAATTGTTAATCGAGCGGCTCATTTGCCGAATGAGCCGTTGGCCATTAATCACGGTAAACAAAAAGTAAAAATTTATTTGAAATATAAAAAGTGAAATATAAAAATCAATTCAGTGCTTTGACATTCAAATTTTAGAAAATTTAAAAAGTGGTGTTAATTATTTTGTCCTATGTATAATGATTCAATTATTAATAATCAAAGTATTTACATGTTGAATTTACTTACATTTCCCAGATATGGCATCAAACATGCTTTGAAGTCTTGCCTTCATGCTTGTTTGTCTCATATCTGTAATATCCTCCTTTTTTATCTCCTCCACATCGTCAGTAGTAAATTTCGCTCGTATGTTGCCCTGCTCTTCGACTAACATCCGTAACTTTTCATTTCTTTCCGGTTCTGCCTTCATAAATAACTTGTGTGTTAATCTCGCTGAATCAGTAGATACAATCGACTCTATTGAATGACCTTTACTGCTATTCTGTACATTTGAACGTGTGTTCATATGAATGTGTTTATCATCCGATTCCCTCTCTAGACTTTTATTACTTGTTTTTAAAATTCCTTTTAATGGTGAATGTTCCTGTAGCTTATCGACAAAATTGCACGGATCTGAATTATTTCTCTTCTCCATTAACTCGTTATTATGATGCCTCTGGCTCATATCTGAAATATGTGATAATGTTTGTGTGCTAGCATTTTGAACACATTCCAACGATTTGAAATGCTTCTCAAAATCAGGTGTTCCACTCCGTGAAAAATCTCCTATAATAAACAAGACAAATGTAAATTAAAGTGCCTAACTATTATGACTACAATAATTTTGATCTACTACTTACTAGCTTTCCTTTTGACGCCAGAAACAACGTGTTTGCTAGAACTAAGAGAGTTTATGATGTCATAACAGGATGGTGTTTTAGTACGTTTTGTTGGTCGAACGGTATTACTTTGTGGGGAAGAATCTTCTTCTGATTTCAATGATTCTTCTCTACTCCTTTTCTGCTTTGTTTCATCATGTACCTTAAGTGACTTAACACCAATAGTATGTGTACGTTGTTTTTTTGCTAAATCGGAAGCGACATCTTCGCTTGATGCGTGTCTCTTTAGTGATATCTCCCTTAAAGCTTGGGCAACACTAGGCGATGAACAACTATTATCTGACTGATGTAAATTCATCAAAATATTTTGTTTCAATGGTGATGAATATCGTATGGTATGAGATGGAGCTACTCTAACTGTCACTGGTGTCCTTGTTCTCATAGACTTTGCATTTATCAGTGGAACTGAACTAGCATAAAGATTTACTTTCGGAAACTGTCCTACACGATATTTAGACTGGTGAGTTAATTTATTGCTGGCTTCTGCTGCATACTTAGTCAATCGAGTCGTAAGTCCTGGGGAGGTTACATCATTATATATTCTGGAATTAAATTATAAACTTATATAAATATGTGGAAATATGGATACCTATGATAAAATATATTAGTTAGACTACTTACTTTGGGTCAATATTATATCTAGTTGACGTTAACAGGGGTCCTTCAACTGCATGACCAACTTTCTTTTCCCTTGTTTTTATATATGTTTTAGCAGTTCCATGCGAGCTCCACATAGAACCTTCAGCAGCAAAGTATGTTGTTTCCTCCTGCGTTAGATCATGATTTTGCCCATACATAGGAGACGCTCTCTTTGATAATATTTGTTCAGAAGGTGACAACTTAAACGTCTGATTTTCTAATTCTTCTTTATTTCGTGAGGACATTAGCATTGAAGTATGTTTAGTCACAAAGGAATTGTGATCGTATGATGAATGACCAGAATTATGATAAAAACTGTTGTTGGTACTTATATTGTTTGACATATCGGTTTTTTGTAAATTCTTTGGAATTGGGCTAAGCTGTGTAATCGATTCGAAGGAAGAAGAGTTTTTCCTTGTTGGATAAGGATCACTGCTAAGCTGATAATGCAATCCTCGACGTCTTTCCATCCTAGAATGGATTTGGGTTAGGTGTCGTTTTCGGAAACGGCAATTTAAAGTTCCCAAAAACTGACGAATGTACTGATATATTACATCGATGATAGCTTCGAAGCTTGTACGAACTTCGAAAAAGACGTGTTTGCAGTAATCAAGAAGAAGAAACGCGTGCGGCGACAGTAAGCTATCGTTGATGATTAAAGAGTAGCACGCGTAAATCGTAAGAAACAATGAAATGGTAAGAAGAAAAATCGGTCCCCAAACGTTGTATAGGAACACGCACCCACTCAACGCACTTACTAACACGATGACAGCCCGAGTTCCTAATTCCCACATATTATTTCAAACAAATAACCTCTCCATGTTTGAAAAGAGCACATTCACCGAATTACCGGAACCTTGCTGTGTTAAACTCGACGACATTATCGACGTAGCAACTACTACGTAATACTAAGTATCATCTTCCAAATTATATACGTTTTTTTAAAATTCATTTAAAAATATTTCGGTAAAATCCTTACATTTTGTTAGTGGATTAGTAATCACACATGAATTCTGTGGAAACTTTCTACAATCTCTGTTACGATCTACTTTCCGCTACTGTAACACGACATCGTATGGCGACCGAAGCATTCGCGTTGTTTCAACGGACTCATACGAAGCGCCATCCCTTGTTTTATAATTTTAACATGACGTCAGTTTAGCGGTTACTACCATTTGAAATTTAAACAGTTCTAGTAATAAAGTTTATATTTACTAATTTATGAATATGATATATTCATATATATTAATATATGTAATATGATATATATATAATATATATATATATATATATATATCTGTTAATTAACTACTTAAGGTAAAAAAGGTTCATAATTCAAAACTAATAAAATTTGAAGCAATCAAGTGTTATAACGCTTAAAGAGCAATCCAAATCTACTATGCATTCTATATGCATGCTTGTTCCTCTATAAATCTAATATTTCATAAGATTTCGTCATACAATTGAAATACCAACTTTGAAAAAAAATTACAGCGTTAATGGCATTTTCTATAATTTAAAGCAGTAAACTTAACAATTACATTGAATATAATTATCCAAAGTAATAAAGTCGGCAAATACGCAAATTGTTTTAATATATACATGTAAACTGAATTACAAATTTAAAATAAAATTTTTGAATATATTATATGTGTAATATACCTATGTAGACTGGTTGAATTGTAGCTACCTTCACAGAGCTAAAGTAAATTAATACATGAACGAAAGTATAAGTTTACGATCAGTTTATAGGAATGTATATATTATTATAAATTGTTTTAATAAAAATTTCCACCACATTTAAATAATATGATAATAACAAATTATTAGTCTTTCGTGAAATAATGAACTAAATTAAATATCATAGTATAACTTCAATATGTACAAGCTTACGATATATCGCATTGATATTATTTTAACTTCCATTTAAAAAAAGACAAGGAAAATTTTTACCGTATTAACCTTTAACTCCAATTAACCATTATTTTTGAAATCTTATTTTATATGCTATGCCGATAATGATAGGAAAATAACAATGAGATTTTAAAATACCAAAATTGCATGACGCAAAAATACATTGCGTTCTAAGTCTACATTGCATTTTATTTATGCTTACACCTTTCTTATCAAAATATTATGATTGTATTTATTTTTAAGAACAAAAATGCATAGACAATATTTATGTTGTAAAGGAGAAAAAAATTACTTAAAATAAAAATATAAGTTGTTTATATACATATGCAATTAGAAAATTTCAAATTTATTTTATTTTCAAATATCTTGTGTCCAAAGTATTATCGTTTTATTTCCTCTAAAGTGTTTTACACACAAATTGCATAAAATAAATGAAATGTAACAGATACTTTGAAATTTTCATTTTATTTATTGCAGATTAAGCTTGACAATTTAGCATGAGAGAAATTTTTCTAAATATTTGGATGTTTTCGTGCGTTTCGTTGTTCAGATAAAATTTAAGAAACGGATCAGTCCGGAGTCCACTTGTTTCAGTTTTCACACTGTTAGTGCACGTGGGAATTCCTCGTGATAACAGAAATAGAAAGGTTAATACATACACGTTCTATCGACGATTGTAACAACAGTTTAAAGCAGAGTGAACTATGTCGTGGATTTTTGGATATCGTAATTCACAACCACAAGACTTTTCGCAGTTTGTACAACCACCGGCATCTGCTGCAGGTGGAGATGGAAAGGACGGTACACAACCACCTAAAGTTGTTCAAGTGGAACCCTATGGATTCGATTCTAGTGGTTTGGAAAGAGCAGCAGCAGCCGCCAAAGAACTCGAGAAATCCGGTATGTCCGATTAATTGTATTAATTAATTTTATTTAATAAAATCATCACGCAAAGTTACGTAAGTAACAGCGTGATGATGCAATGATTCATCGTTAAATGGAATCATAAAAAAATTGTTTTCATAAATGAAAATTGTCACAATGCCGAAAGCTATATATTTATTTAAACAATATAGGTATCTACACAATATTCAATATTTTTATTGCATCTTTTTATTCCTTATCCATCCCACAAGTTTCCCTCATTGTTTATCATTAAATGGAGATTGTTTACTTCATAATATATGGAATTACTATTTAAAATAGAGAATCATACAACACAAACTGTTTTTTGTATTTAGATTAGTGTGTTTCAAGCAAATCTTATCATCATTTTATTTATGCAGTACATGCCAAAGAAGCATTTGAACTGTCTAAAATGCAAGAAGCTACCAAACAAATGGAAAAGCAAGCAGAAATGAAAAAATATGAAGCTAGTATAGAGCAATTGAAGGCAGAGCAGAAACGTGTTGATGGAGAAGAAAAGAGAAAAGTTTTGCAAGAAGAAACTAAGCAACATCAAATGCGAGCTCAATATCAAGATCAACTGGCAAGGAAACGATATGATGATCAACTGTTACAACAACAGAGAATGAATGATGAAAATTTAAGGAGACAGGAAGAATCAGTGGCAAAACAAGAAGCAATGAGAAAAGCTACTATAGAACATGAAATGGAATTGAGGCACAAAAATGACATGAAAAAGTTGGAAGCAGAAATTAAAGCAAAAGCAAAAATAGATAGAGAAAATCAAGATCTAAATATAGAGCAAATCAGGGTAAAAGCATCTGAAAAAAGAGTAACAGTTTTAGAGTCTATAAAGTGAGTGGAAGAACAAATAGTAACAATAGATTAATGATATTGAAATTGCTATACTATATTTATTAAATATTGTTTTAGGACTGCTGGTTCAGTATTGGGTACAGGACTCACAGCTTTCCTTCAAGACTGGGATAAGATTGTTGCTGCAGCTGGAGGCTTATCTCTGTTGGCTTTTGGTGTATACAGTGCAAAAGGCACAACCGGTATAGCAGCGCGATACATAGAATCACGATTAGGGAAACCATCCCTGGTTCGAGAAACTTCTAGATTTACAGTATTAGATACAATACAGCATCCTATTCAAGCAATGAAGAGACTAAAAAATAAGCACACCGATGCTTTATCTGGTGTTGTTTTAGCACCAAAGCTTGAAGAAAGATTACGCGATATTGCGATAGCTACGAAAAATACGAAACAAAATCGTGGAATGTATAGAAATATATTGATGCACGGTCCTCCTGGAACGGGTAAAACAATGTTCGCTAAAAAATTGGCGGAACATTCGGGTATGGACTATGCTATCGTAACTGGTGGTGATTTAGCACCATTAGGTCGAGATGGTGTCACTGCTATTCACAAAGTTTTCGATTGGGCAGCAACATCTAGGAAAGGGCTCTTGCTTTTCATTGACGAGGCGGATGCCTTTTTAAGAAAGCGTTCAAGTGAACATATTTCAGAAGATCTGAGAGCAATGTTAAATGCATTTCTCTATAGAACTGGTGAACAGAGCAACAAATTCATGTTGATTCTCGCTTCGAATACTCCGGAACAGTTTGATTGGGCCGTAAACGATAGATTAGATGAAATGGTAGAGTTTCGTCTACCTGGTCGAGAAGAACGTGAACGTTTAGTTCGACTTTACTTCGAAAAATTTGTTCTTCAACCGGCGATTGAAGGCAATAAGAGAATAAAAGTTGCGCAGTTCGATTACAGCGCGCTTTGTACTAAAATAGCCCAAATATCCGAGGGAATGTCTGGAAGAGAATTAGCGAAATTGGGTGTTACCTGGCAAGCAACAGCTTATGCTTCCGAAGATGGAGTATTAACGGAACAAATGGTTATAGATAAGTGTAAGGAAGCTATTAAGCAACATAAGCAAAAGGTAATTATCAACTATTCAATAATTATTTTATATATATGCGCGTGTGTCTATATTGGCATGCATTACATATAAATATATAAATTATGTAAACGTCATTTCTTTTGATTGTTCTTGCAGGTTCAGTGGCAGAGCGAACAGGAAAAACAAGAAGCGAAATCGATTTATGCTACAGAAAAGGAAATAGAGATTCAGCCAGTAAAGTCTAAAATTGCAATTGAATCACCAGCGGCAACAACTTCTGTAGCAACGGCTTAATTAATTAGCATTATTACATAAAAGATTACAAATATTTTATTAAGAAATTAATTCGTAGTAAATAAATGTGAAAAAAGGTGTAAATGATATTGTTATGAGAAGACAAATTTAATGCTCAATTCTCGTTTTCTATACAAAACCTGCGTGTATAAATATTGTATGGTAGAAGTATATCTGTTGTAAATTCCTAGCTTGGTTAAATATTACCTACACTTTATATATATATATATATATATATATCCAATTATATAATGTTATATATATACATATATATGAAATGTACATATATATGTATGTATGTATGTATGTATGTGTGCGTGTACGTACAGAAAGTATGTCATGAAATCTATTTCAATTATAATTTTAAAAAAGCAGGTATTACAACTTATTTTAGATTCGCGAATGATTAGAATTCATTCATGTATTTTAATATTTCATTCTTGATTTTTCTTTTAACTCTTTCTTTTTTTGCTGAACTTCTCAACGTTTCTGTATATTGTTCATTTCGTAGTGTTAGCTTGTCAGTATCATGTGTACAAAAATGTCGATTCAATCGACGACAATTAACAATATTATTAGTGAATTCATATATACGTGTATCTTATATATAAATTTCTATACCTACGTTGGAGTGAACGTAAAAATATGTACGTTAAAATAATTTGACAAAAACGTTCAAGAAAACGTTTCGTTGTATTCTCACAATTATTAATAAATGTTTCATATCTCTTTATTGCTATTTGTTAAAATATTTAATTTGTTTACGAAATAAATGGCTTATTGCTTAGAAAGTAAAACATACTGTATTATTGATATCGACATTATTTTAAAAGAAATTACAAAAAATAAAGTATAAATTCAGTTTAGAACGAATAGTAACTTACAAATAAAATGTAATACTTGTAATAATGCACATAACGAGAAAAGAAAAAAAGAAATTAGAAAAAGGAAGCCAGAAATAAAATAGTTCCATAAAAGCCCATCATTTAAAAATATCGTCAAATATTATTTAAGCGTAAAAATATCGTAAATGCAATTACCATTGAATTGAAAGTATCACGTTTGAATACTCGATTCTTTATCACTAAACAATGTATTTATAATTGATCTTCTCAAATGCTGCGTAGCATGCAATCATGCATATACATATAGTACAATTACATTAGACACAATATGGTTTCAGCTATGTAAGTATATCGAATTCTTTAAAGTAAGAGAAATATCGATCTTCAAATATATTTCTCGATACTTATATATACCGTCGGTATCTAATTATTTCTATCCTCTATACATAAATACTAACATATAAACGGATCTAAAGTGTGTTAAAAAAACAGACATAAAAAAAAGATTATATATATATATATATATATATCCAATTATATAATGTTATATATATACATATATATGAAATGTACATATATATGTATGTATGTATGTATGTATGTGTGCGTGTACGTACAGAAAGTATGTCATGAAATCTATTTCAATTATAATTTTAAAAAAGCAGGTATTACAACTTATTTTAGATTCGCGAATGATTAGAATTCATTCATGTATTTTAATATTTCATTCTTGATTTTTCTTTTAACTCTTTCTTTTTTTGCTGAACTTCTCAACGTTTCTGTATATTGTTCATTTCGTAGTGTTAGCTTGTCAGTATCATGTGTACAAAAATGTCGATTCAATCGACGACAATTAACAATATTATTAGTGAATTCATATATACGTGTATCTTATATATAAATTTCTATACCTACGTTGGAGTGAACGTAAAAATATGTACGTTAAAATAATTTGACAAAAACGTTCAAGAAAACGTTTCGTTGTATTCTCACAATTATTAATAAATGTTTCATATCTCTTTATTGCTATTTGTTAAAATATTTAATTTGTTTACGAAATAAATGGCTTATTGCTTAGAAAGTAAAACATACTGTATTATTGATATCGACATTATTTTAAAAGAAATTACAAAAAATAAAGTATAAATTCAGTTTAGAACGAATAGTAACTTACAAATAAAATGTAATACTTGTAATAATGCACATAACGAGAAAAGAAAAAAAGAAATTAGAAAAAGGAAGCCAGAAATAAAATAGTTCCATAAAAGCCCATCATTTAAAAATATCGTCAAATATTATTTAAGCGTAAAAATATCGTAAATGCAATTACCATTGAATTGAAAGTATCACGTTTGAATACTCGATTCTTTATCACTAAACAATGTATTTATAATTGATCTTCTCAAATGCTGCGTAGCATGCAATCATGCATATACATATAGTACAATTACATTAGACACAATATGGTTTCAGCTATGTAAGTATATCGAATTCTTTAAAGTAAGAGAAATATCGATCTTCAAATATATTTCTCGATACTTATATATACCGTCGGTATCTAATTATTTCTATCCTCTATACATAAATACTAACATATAAACGGATCTAAAGTGTGTTAAAAAAACAGACATAAAAAAAAGAAGAAAAACAAAAAGAATGATGTATGAAAAGCATATTGTTTTAATTTTATTTCGACAGTACCGTAAAATCAGTCTCTTGTTAAGAAGACACTTTGTAGAAAGGCACACAAGTACATCTCAATTTCCCTTTGGTTTTTGGTTGGTCTTTACCACTATTTGTGTAGAAAAGAGTTACAATATTTATATTCAATCTCTAACGCGAAGCCCCCAGATGCTCGTTCTTCGTACACCGACTGTTGGTCTTGCAACGGAACTATATAGGAACTTATTAAGTTGAGTTTCGCCACAGGTAACTTGTAGTGTTTTCAGTATTGGTTCTGGTATTACACCAAAAACGTCCAAGTACAACAAAGATGGCATATACGCCAATGTAACGTATGTTGATGGAGGTATACCGTAACAGCGACTCAGTGACAGATGTTCTAATTTTGATAAATCAAGTAAATTACGAACAGTATTCATTGTAAGCATAGTACAATCGCTCAAATCTAATTCTATCAAATCTGGACAACTCTTCACTAAATCTTTGACATCTGAAATAAGAATGAGAAAAGATGATATTAATTGTATTAGCACGGATACGGATTAGCAGAATTAACGAAAAAGTTTTTTAAACACGACATTATACTTACTATCATTTGTCATCGTTTTTCTGCATCCTGCTATATTTAAACGTGTAACAGACGAAGGTAAAGATTTACAAAGTAACGTCATAGATTCACTATCCAGACCGCACCAAGCCATATTGACGGCATTGAGGCTGAAAACATTAAAATAAATTATTTAGGACTATCAGAATTTTTGGTCAACCAGAGCTAATGCAAATAATTTTTCTTACTTCTTAAGCTTCATCAAATCCTTGATACATTCAATATTCATACCCTCGCACATTGTTAAGTTTAAAATTTCTAAATCATTATTATCACTGATAGCTTTGCAGCATGATCTATTTACTGTACACTTTTCTAGAGATAATTTTTTAAGGTATTTACATTTATTTAGTAACATAGCCAATCCATCAGGTGATATCACCGCCATCGAGAGATCCAAGTACTGTAATTTACTAATATAACCGTCAGAAAAAACTTCGCTATTCTCAAAGAATACAGGATCGGCAATCTCGGCTTGTGCAAGTCGAAGTATTTGAACGCCTCGTGGTAGTATGTGACCCAATGTACCTTCGTTTAACACTTTACTGCCTAAATCTAATCTGCTCCATAAAGCTTCATCACGTGCTATCTGACACCATCGTTTACAGACTAACATGGAACGTACCTAAAAGAACGTAAAAACAAATAACTGAACAGTGCCCATATGATTCTTTCGTTCCTATCTGTGTCTATTAATTTTCAATCTTACCAAACATTTTTTTGGGAGCCATTTTAATATCATCAATATCATCTCGTCGGATAATTTATTAAATTTATCTTCGCCGACAATCGAAGGTTTTCTTCTTCTTCTATAGAGGTAGAATTGATCGAGACTACTTTTTCCAGAAGAAGCATTAAGGCTGTCTTTAGAAAAAGTTTCTTTTGTGTCAATAAAATTATCTATTTCCATTCTGGAGGAATAACCAGATTCGTTTCCAAGTGTCGAATATGTCACAGGTTCATCTGATTCATATGAATCATGCTCTAATCTTCTGGTAGCTTCGAAACTTTTATGAAATAAATTATAGAGCTCATTAATATGTAAGCAAAAAAAAAAAAATGGAAAAATTAATAGCATTAAAATACAAACCTGTCCATACTGACAGTATCAAAACTGGACCCCCTATAAACACTTTCTTGTCTTTGAAAACTATTAACTTTCTCACATTGTCCACTGTTACCGGAAATAGTTGGCGAGATTGTCCGTTCAAGAGAATCAGACTTTTTTGTACTTTCACAACTTGATGCTTCATCCTCTAACATACTAACACCCATATCCTCTAAAATTTCTGGCTCTACATTTCCATCCGCAGAACATGACCATCTTGCACTATTTTTGGAGGTGCTATTCAAAGAACTATTTAAATTGTTATTACAGCTGTCATCTAGGCGTAGTCGTTTGCTGTAAATTTGTACAAATAAGATTCACTATATCATACTCATAAACAAGAAGCTTATAACGAGATAGTTAAGCATAAAGAGGAGAACAACCTGTTCCACCAGGGTGAAGAAGGCGATCCTTTGGACATAGTAATGCTATAGTCTCCCTTTAAACAAGTGCGTTTTATCTCGCAAAAGTTTATAATAATTGGTGAAAATTATGTTTAACTCGAATAGAGTAAATAGCTCAATGTTTACAGTTCAAAGATTATTATCAAACTTAACATTAATGAAATTCATAATTTCAAAGAGATGAAATAAAAGACATATATTGGTCAAAATCTATATCTTTAAGTCCAAAGAGAGAAACATTAAATGATTTCTACTATGAAACATTAGTATTCGTAACTAGATAGTTGTAAGTAACAGTACAGATTTATACATAATTGATATAAATATAATCAATAAAAAATGTTAAAGAGGAGTAACTTGAAAAATATGAAACGTTGAGAATGGAATTGGAATAGATCCTAGCTGGATATTGTTAACAAAACTATACCTTAAACTATAACTAAATCTATATCTTTCTTGTAACGTTTGTAAAACTCAATTATACTAATGTATTAATAAATGATTATAATCTAAAAGGAGATATATAGATTAAGATAATTATCAAAATAATGCTTTATCGATTGTTTGAATGAAAATGAAAAATTGCTTGTAGAAATCATAGAAGAGCGATTAATCGAGTAACGTAGTTGGAAAAATAAAGACTTCGATATGCTCCATTAATTAATATGTCATATATAAACCTCGTATTTCTCGATAAATGAAGAAAAATAATATATAATGATGAAAAAAACGAACATTTGCTATATCTTGTGAATACAGTTCACGAATCACCACTGGTAGAGGTTCTTAACCTTACCTGTGCGCGCGAAAATATGCACCTGCATCACCCTAAGCAACAGGTAAGAGAGATGTATGCAATGATTACCGAAACTTAGGACTTTTTTTTTTCAAAGGAGGGGGATTGCTGTAAAATTGACTTACCTTTCAGGTGGTGAAAATTCTTCGGAATTCTCTAGGCATTCCTCGCCAAGACTCGTGTGTTCCGCCACGCCAGAATTCATTTTTGGCGGAATCCCGTCGCGATACCTTTTTTTCAATCGCCACTGGTTGTACGCACGGAAAACAATCACTGGCGGAGAGTTCCAATTGCTCGAATCGCTCACGACCATTCGAGTTATTCCTTTGGTCCCTTATTTGATTGGTCGACTGTTTGATAATTTCGAGGCAGCGGGAAACCGAGAGGTCGATCGCGCGGCAAGCATTGCTACCTAACCATCCGATCGGCGCTGTTGCACTTTTCACAATTATTATTCTTTCAAAATGTCGAATAGACCGGAAACTGGAAAATCTTTTTCAGCTCAATCTGTTCCAAGATATTACATTGCCTTTCTACTGTTAACAAGGTAAATTTCAATTTTAACAAGCGTGTCGTTGATTTGTAATATACAAACGTGCATATCTAAAACTACGTGAAAAGAGCGTGATAAAAGTGACCATGAAAACATTGTTTGCAATAATTCTTATGTACTACTGCCTCAAATTCCGAAATTATTAAGCTGCCGTGTTTCGGACATCCACCCCAAAATTAGCCAAACCTGATGTTTGTTTATGAAAATTGAATTGAGATTTAATGGGTTGCAATCCCTGTCTGTGCCACCAGCCATATCTATAATTGCAAAATGAAGATTACTTAGAAGAAAGAAGGGAGGAAAGAGCGAGCTTGTGTCTGACTTCCGTAAGACGCAGAATAAAATAATTTAAGTTACGCGTGACTGGTAACTAAAGCTCGAGAGTTGCAAGTGTTTTCCTGTTGTTTCGTATTTTCTTCGTGCATATCAATCGTGTCCGTGTATCCCTTTGAATAAAATTTCGGCGTGATCGTATTATCTGTAATGCAATATGGGCTATGTCATATGTCCAATCGGTTGCTAGTTAACATGCTTTGCTAATTCTTTTGCAGATTTCGTTTGATTTTGACTCGCAATGGTAAAACGATGCAATTAGTACGAAATTACGGGCATATATGATATCGTATACGTTTGAAACGTTTTGTAAATATTATAAAAATATACCATTGATTTTCGGCAAACGTATATACGATTTACCGAGCAATCTATCTTTGGGAAAGCATAATTTGAAAGGTGGTGGCTTTTCCAAATGTTTTCCAATCGTCGAAGAATTCGAACCACGAGAATTCGTTCGATCCATCGTGTTACCTTCCTTGGTCCAATACTTGCGATACTCTCTCGTTCGTCAACTCGATAATCACTATGCCTACTGTGTTGACAGAATATGTATTCTCAAGGAGATGAAGAAGGAGGGATATATTTGGTCGATACATTTGTAGGAAACAAATGCAAACAGAGAAAGGTAAGTTTATCTCGCATGTTGCGTTACGTATGTTCTGCGATTTTATCAAAATTACAATTATACGATATGCATTGGTAACAAAGTTTGGAAAATTTCGAAAATTCTAAAAATGAAAATTTTCAACTATTTAAAATGAAAATAACTAAGATCAATATTTTTTTTTACAGTTCGCTTTCGGAGATACGCATATAGCAATTGAAAATGCAATATTACACAGAGCTTAAGGCAATGTCTAACAGAGACTTACATTTCGTAACTATAAAACAGGTAGTATAAAAATAAAGAGGCAAATAACTGCAGTGGATGAATCGAGCAATGCACATGTATACATCTTTGTCTTCTATTTTAAATCGATTGTACAAACATATTGAAAAATTGATCACGAAATAAAAGAAGATACCCTTATAAATGGAAAGAGAAAGAGATCATTATTAGACTGCAAACAATCAGATATATTTGCTAGTTAATCGATTAAATGCTATTTTATTAGGAAGCTTACAAAGTCCTCATAAAACTTGCTCGCTTTTACACGGAAAAAACAATGCCGTTTGCAACTCGGACAAATACCAATTTCGAAAATGTTTTTCTCTCTCCCATTCTCTCTCTTTCTCTCGCATACGCTCTCTTTTTCTCAACTTCCTCCCTCACATCTCGAATTTGAATCGCGAAATTACTTTGCAAGAGATTGTGTATTTTTGAAAATTGTTTCTAGTCATACATATAGAGTTCGCAGTAATGCTTCACACATTTTCGTACGATGAAATACATGTTCTCTCCATTCTTTTTACCACCATCGTCGCACGTTTCCTCTTTCTCGTTCGGTCGTTTTCCGTGCGAAAGAGAATCTTAGAGTTCCACATCCTTTTTTTCACAGAAAAAGAGGACGAGCATCAATCTCACGATCGATTTCGTAATTTTTAACGCCTTCATTTACGATGAAGGAGAGTAACGACGGGCTTCTTCGTAAAATATTCACGGTATAAAATGGAAAGGAATCGCAATATACATTTTCAAATTCTGCGAATAGCTGAGATAAAAAGTAGATGAGGAAAAAAGAAAAAGAAAAGAGAGAAACTGGTGTTTATTTAAAAAGCATTCGTAAACATTTTTTTTATTCGTTCTTTTTAAGGACCTTTTTCTTTTTTCTCCTTTATACTGCTTTTTTGCCTAAAATAAAAAAAAGAGAACATAACGGAAATGTCATTTCCAGGGCATACGCAATACATCTTTTCCCTTGTCAAGTTTTTACATGCTCGAAAGAAGAAGAAGAAGAAAAAAAAGAAGATCGTTAGTCGCTTCTTCTCGTTTCGAAGACGGAGAAGAGATAGAAAAGGAGACGCGCGCTTTGTATTATTATCCGGAAAAAACTCTCCCAAGCGATGTTATGCACGTCTCATACATAAGCGTTCTTAGCACACGAGTTGCGATATGTCGAGTGTTTGCAATTTTTTTGGCCGGTTCGTGAACGATTTTCGACCGATCGAAAATTGTCGACGTTAAAATCTTACAAATCGCAATTTTCTACGAATAATCCATCCAACATCGACAATTACATGCTTATACGCATCTGTGTAAACAGCTGATTTTCGAACCGATAATCGATGAACTTCGTATAAGGAAATATGCACGCGATATCCTAGTTCTTTTTTTAACGTAGTAGTAGTAGTAGTAGTAGTAGTAATAGTAGTAGTAGTAGTGGTGGTGGTGGTGGTGGTGGTGACAGTAGTAGTAGTAGTAGTAGTAGTAGTAGTAGTAGTGTAGTGTAGTGTAGTAGTACACGCTTCGAACCGCTGTGTATCATCGAATAAACGAATAAACGAAAAAACGAAGAAACGAAGTTACAAGTGCGCTCGTCCTAACGCAAGTACGAAAGATTCATGAAATACGAGTTTTTGAATAATGATCGAAGAAAGACTCGTCGGTATAATAATGCAGCGGTACCTTACCACGTAGTTTTACAAACCTATACAAAGGTATTTATCCTTTCGCTTATATGCTAAATATTGTTTCTTCATTCGAGCTCGCAATAATATATACGCACGTATGCACGCACATACAAATATATACATCCGTACACGCATACAGAAAAACTGGAGCACATACTTTCGCTCGTACATATAATTATGTTTTCACGCACAACACATACGACGCATCCACACCAACTCGCGTTATTGCAATTTAAAGATCTATATTATTATGGCCATGGATTTTTCCTCCGTATTCCGATTCGGTTGCTTTCCTTACGCAAGACTCGTTGCTGCACACGTCCTTCGCTCTACGCACCCTCTTCTCGCAATTTAATGTCCCTTCGAGAAAGCAATTATTCGTGTTTGAGTCGTTTCAATTAACGCAATGACGATACATAGTTGTTACGATGCATGCTTGATGGATATCGAATTGATAACGAATTGATATCGATGACGATGGTTACCCATTCTAAAGCGATTAAATGTGAGATGACGATGATTCGAGGGGACGTAAATTAAATGGAACACTCTGAAGAAGACATAAACAATGCGAGAAATGGATATCGGTCGAGAATGCATTATTTCCTCATAAAATTATTCTATCAATGCTATGGTTGGTTACGCCACACCCTATTGTAATTTAAAAGAACGAAACAAGTAACAGAAAATGCATCGTTGAAAATTGAAAAAAAAAAGAAGAAAAAAAAAAAAAAGAAAACAGATGTACATCCAAGAGAGAAAGAAACGTGTCAATCGATAATGAGTGATAATAGTGGCGAGATAAAAAGTTGGAAAGGTACGATCACGTGTAAGTATAACCATGTATCCAACACGTATCATTATCCCCCTCCCCCCTCGTACTTTTTCGATTTCATCCCTAGATTGTCTGTATCTTTCCGTTCGCGTATAACATTTTCTCCTCCACGTCACCGTATCTTTCGCTTTACGGGAGAAAACAGAAGAAGGAGGAGGAGGAGGAGGAGAAGAAGAAGAAGAAGAAGAAGAAGAAAAAAAAGGACCAAGAATCGCGATATATTCGTGTTTCTTAATGCTTTCTCCATGATCAGAGTCACGGACGTAATTAATGTAATGCTTTTTTTCGTCTCTACGTCGTAAGCACGTGCGATGATGCATGCGTTTTCATATGGTTCTTCTCGTTATGACAAATCGATAACGTTTTACATCCATTAACAAATGTATCAATTCTCGAGGAAATTGCCGATTTTCCTCGAAACTTGACGCATTCGAACGGGCGAATTCGATGGGGTAACCAAACATTCGTTAACGATCGATTATACAGTTAGTTATATAGTCTGGCAACTGTCCTCCATGGAAATCGAATGAAAGTATATGGCAAAATTAGATCTGTATAGGAGATTTCGGAAAGATCGAACGTCCTCGAGGAAAGTTTAATAATGCTATCACCTCTATGCGTTGACTTTTGGTATTATTCGTGTATCACACGTAATACCTTTGGATAAAGCTTATTTTCAGGGTTAGTTTGTAAGAAGGAAGAACAAAGTGACGATTAATTTTCAACCCTGGATGGACTTCGATCGCATACAGACATTATAAGCTCTTTCTCCTCGGTTTTCTTCAAACGCGATAGTGTATGTAATTTGTAACAAATTTGCGCAGCTCATTGTAACTGCCCTGAGTAAAGAGTCTCCCACCGCACAGCACGATTCTACACACCATCGTAACACGTAAAATGAACATGGTCGAAAGTACCGCGTATTTCTCTACTACTACTAAAAAGGAAAACGTATTTAGATCTTTCTGTAGCTTTTCTCTCCTCGTTTCTCTGCATATGATACAACTCCGACCGACACAAACTTAACCATATAGAGTACACACAAAGAGAACGAACGATACTGCTATACTCTGAACGACGATAACTTGTCTGTCATGTCTGACACGTATCCTGTGTATCGTCGAAATGCAACATTCAAGCGAGAAGTATTCAACGATTTATGAAAACGAAAATCATTAGACGAAAGGAAAAAATAGCCGACTGTAATAAACAGAGTAATCGCAACTGTAGGTGGGTAGACGATAAAACGACATTTCGTCGATAAAACTCTACAAAAATACGTAACAGTAATAGATGTGATTTTTGTGTAATCTAGGTTTTTCGAGAAAATTTACCCGTTAACGTGCATACATACGCGTGCACGTTATCGAATATAGCTCTCGATCTCTGCTCCATGTTGTACTTCTCCTTTTCACTCTTTTACTCGGTATACTCTTAATCACTTACGACGCAGGTACAATTTTTTTTCTGTATTTTTTTTCTTTTTTTCTTTTTTCTTTTTGTTAAACTAACTTTTTTATCTTCCTTACATACTAACTCCTACAAAGATGCTTAAGAGACATTTACAAAAAAATGGCCGTAGTTGTCGCCCCCCTTTTTTTTTTTTTTTTCGATAAAAACGCGCTTTGTTCCTTTCTTGGAATCTTCCTTAAGACATTTTCGAACTTACACTCTACTACGATCTTAGAAACCTACTGAGCAAACTATTCGTAACATGCACCAAGATGAGCGGTTTCGGTTTACTCATTTTACCGCAACACCGCTGTTTTTCGTTCGAAGATGCGTTGTTGTTGCTAGTGTTGCTCTTATTATTTTTCACCATTCTCGAACAAATTATCATTAGGAAAGAAGAGAATCGTGGAAATATTTCGTTAATCGTATCTACATTCCAAAATATATAAAACGGAATTAAAGAAATCGTTTAACAAAAAGAAAGGAAGCAAATATACACGTGTATATATGTGTGTGCGTGTGTGTATATGCACGCGTGTATGCATACATACATCCGTGTACATACACACACGTACACAGACACACACACATACGCGTGTATATTTATGATTGGAGAAGATACCGAACAAATTATTTTCTCTTCTTTAGCGCCTGTCCGTATATCCGTTTCGATAAATCCATATGAACGAGCATGTATGTACTTCTCTAGACACTATAACAGCAAAAGTACAGAAACATTATCTACCGTAAGTTATTTCTCATATTATGCTATATGTTCACATCTAATGGATATCGAGGGTGGAATGTACATATTACAGATTTTACACGTTTCTTCGAGTTCCATGCTAACAGTAATTTTAATTTCATCACGAATTTAAACTTGCGTGACCATTTGGGCTTTCCCATTTGGTTTTCTCCAATTCCTATGGGTTACTCCAATTGTATGATATGTACATAATTATGTGTATCGAATCTGTGCTGTGTTTGCTTGCTTATGTTCGTTCATATTATTTAACGAATGTATTACAAAGTAACATGCAACAAAATAAATCAGACCAACACCGCGCTTTTACAAATTTATAGAGCAAACATAAGACAGAATATGATTGGTTGGACTTGTCAAAATGTAGTAAAAGCACAACGAAAGAAAAGAGAGAAAACAAAAAGAAAAAGAAAAAGAAAAAGAAAAAGGAAACAAAATACTCGGGTACAATGTTTCTTTGAATTCCATAGAAAATAGAAAGTCACGAAGAATTATTGTCTGCCTGAGTGTCGTGTATTTTTAGCATCGCGCACGTACGTGCGAATGTAACATCGGAGTGAGGACACGTTTTTGTGCCAGCCTCTAACGTGTCGTTGTGTAGAATACACTCGTGTGTATGTGTGTAATAATCCGTCAATTGTCGTGCGAATCATTGCAATGCAGTTCATCATTTTTAATGAAACACAACCTTCGTTTAGCCAATCATGAAATATCATTTATATCATGGTTACCCTTTGTAAATTATCGATAGATAACATTACTGTACATGCTTCTTTCGTATCCGTATATGCAGACGTGTAAATATGAATTATACGCGCTACCAAGAAAGGAGATCTGTGTTTCTCTCTTAAAGGTGTCACCTTTCAGCCACTAGGGGATGCGATAACTGTTTTGTTGGTCTGACGTTCAAGTAGATCCGAACGAGCTTTTAGACGACGCTGCATCAGGCGGCTTTCGCTTGGCGGTGACAAACCGAACAGTTGATGAAGCGACGAATCCTTGCCAATCAGTCGATTTTTTCCAATAACTTTCGAATCGATTAGATCGATGCTCGAATGAACAGAGCCAGATTTCAAGCGCAAGTTCGCATCAAACTCGCTCGAGGAATGAGTCGCACAAATCTTACTATGTTCCGATAATTCGCTGCCCGAATCGGACATGTGACCATACGGATGGTTATCTTCGTCCGTGGACGAAGTAGATAATCTCGGCTCCCTTTTCTCCGCCAAATCCTCCAAATTTACGGAGAAATGTTGAAGTACCACACGATTCACAGCCATTGCTGATTCGGCAAACGCCGAGAGTTCTCTAGCAGAATTATTTCTCCTGCGAACAAAAACAAATATAACGACGTGATTAGACCATTATCTTTTCGAACAATTCGAAAACGTTGACACATTGAACTGTTTGATAACCCGGCAATCGAGTGATCGTATTAAGAATATGACGAACCTGATAATATGAGGAGTCATAAGAGATTTCTCGGTATTTTCGACAGAGCTAGGACCAGGGTTAATCCACGCATGTTTTAAAATACTCTCGGCGCTAAGCCTTTGATGAGCTTCCTTGACCAGTAAGCCTCTGATTAAATCTTTCGCATCTTCCGAAATGCACCTCCATTCGTTGTCCGGAAATTCATACATGCCTTCTTGAATACTGGTAAACAGAAGCTCTTGACAAGCCTGACAATTTTCTCCTCTCTCCCAACCGCAACCGGAACCGCAGTTTCCATAGAAAGGTGGATAACCACAAAGGAGAATATACATAATCACTCCAAGGCTCCAGAGATCGCAACGTTTGTCGTAATAATTCGCTTCTCCGATGAAAGCTTCCACTACTTCCGGAGCCATGAAGTCAGCGCTACCGACTGGTGTTAGAAGTTGCGGTGTAGCTACAGGACTTGACAGCGAGTTGTTAAACTTAATGCCTGAACTAAGATCGAAGTCGCAGACTTTAATCGGTGTTAGTTTATCCGGATATACGCACAGGATGTTTTCGGGTTTCAGATCCCTGTGGGCAATGCCTAGTAATACGAAAAGTAGCAAGTTTAGAATAATCGATCGTACATGGACAATGAAAAGTGTATAATAGTTGCACGTATGCGTTTAATCATAATAAATAGTAGAAATTGCGTTACCTTTCTTGTGAAGAAAATTCAGCGCGCTCGCGATCTCTAGAATTATCTGGCTTGCTTCTCGTTCGCTAAAGTGAACTCTTTCTTGTATTCGACTCAGTAGTTGACCACCGTTTACTTTCTCGAACACTAGGTAAAACTTTTCCTCGTCTTCGAAAAATTCGATCAATTGAATAATATTTGGATGTCCCTGACAATGATGAAACGTTTCGACTTCTTTGAATACACGTGCCCGTGCGTGCCCGGGAATTTTGTCGATAATTTTAACAGCATACTCCAGGTCCGTGTAGAGAGATCTACAAGTTTGAACCGAGGCGTAAGCACCTTCACCAAGAACTTCGCCAGTTAATCTATACAGTTCTGTAACAAATATAGAATTTTCTAGTTTGATAATAGTTATTATAAAAAGATAATATATGCTATGAATAAGTAATTTTAAGAGCAAAAGCAATATAGAGAAGAGAAGGAGAAGGGGACGAAAGAAGAGAAATTGAAGGAGAGGGGCAAGCAAGGCTGTCTGAAAATAATCACGCAGCGTCACGTACGCAAAAACGACTCGAGAGTTTGGTATCAAGCACAATTCCTTTACCATTACTCCGTTGAATAGTCTACGCTTTATCGAGTAACGACTTCTCACAATATACCGATGGTTTTAGACAGCTGGGCTTCTTTTTTTTGGTTCCAAAATTATGAACAAGACTCGTTAAGTCCCAATCAGGGTTGCCGGGGAGAGTCTCTCGGTCTCCCCCGTTCTAACACGCTGTTCCTCCGTCGTTTGCCCTACTCTTTCCGCCGATACTGACGAAGAGACCGAATGAGAAAAATAACGGGTGTCGCTTATAGAACTTTATTCTTACGCCAAGTTTCCTTCGGTCAGAAACGGTAGTCTAAATAAATGTCGTTCAACAAAGAAATTTGAACGAGAAGTCGATTTAATGAAATAAATTGTCATAGATATAAACGGAATACGACGTAAGGTTCATAATTTAATAGCTGTGTACACTGCCGTAACAATTCGATTTTCCTGGCTTGTAGGCTTTGGTTGCTCGCGAAATATTTTGTTTCATAGGGGCTTTCTTTTACATTTCGCCAACCAAGATGAGAAAAAAGAGATCTCTGATAGCCATGAATCAATGAACCTCTTCTTCTTTCCTTTTCTTCCTTTTCGGAGTAGTTGCGGGGACCCATATAGAGCTTGTGTCAGTCAGTGTCTGTTTATGTATCTGTTAATGCAATTTAGATTATTAGGTATTATTTATAAAATAGATTTAAAGATATATATATCTAAAAAACTAACAAAGTTGAAAATGTGGTATATCTTATTTCAGTATCTGTTTCGTACAACCATGGGTACCCGGACCACCTAAGTATTTCTTTCTACCTTGAAAAAAGGGTCTTCCGGTTTTCAACCATGAACAACGAAAACTCTACTTGCATACTCTTACTTTTTGAACTTGCAATTCTATCCAAAATGCAACACCACAGAAATAAGACACAGAAAATTTACATCACAGTTCTAAAATGAGTATTACTTAAAAAATGTTTTTCTTCCTTAAATTCGAAGTAATTAAGAAAACACGTACATTACCTTCGCCAAGCCAACTTCGATATTCATAGCGTCATCTGAAATACTAAGAATATGCATAATCGTTAAAGAATTAAACATATTCATATTTACATTCATTGGCTGCAACATCGATGAGTTGTTATTAAGACCAGTCATATTGTTACCTATTCATAAAACAATTTTTAACACGATACATACAATAAGCAAATGTATATAACTTCACAGTTTAAGAAATAGTTGATAATAATTCGTATTACTTATTTAAACTAACGAATTAATTTTCAAAATATATCTTACCTTATTTCCCGGTAATTTCAAAAAATTATTCAAAACGACTTTGACACTTTGCTTTTTATTATACGGCAGAGGGTAAACGGAAAGCCAAATCGAGTTCCGTATACAAAAAGGACGCCCGTTATTTTTCCCCGACCAGCCACGGTCTCAGGCAGTTTCGGCGAGAAGAGTAGGGCAAACGACGGAGGGATAACGCTAGGAGTGGGGGAGAAACCGAGAGTCTCTACCCGGCAACCCTGTCCGTGATTGTTAAATACCATCACGGTACCATTATCGATGAAAACAATCAAATGTTTTACTTGGAATGTTATTGAACAATGAAAAATACAAATATAAATAGTCCGATATTTGCAATCGATTTAATTCGATATAACATATGTAATAACGCTCCCTTTACGATAGTATATAAACGGCGAACGATTAATCCCAAGCTACGTGTATAACGTAATCAATGTTAAGGCCAAAGGGGGGCCACCAATACATAAGGGAAGCAGCATCGTAAAACTACTGCGCATATAAACATGTTTTCTCTTCTCTGTCTCCCTGTCCGAGATCTTTATGCCTCTTGTTCACTCTTGCTCGCGCTCCCCTCGCTGCCCCGATAAAGCGATGCTCCGTTCCATTCTATCCAGCGCGTTGTTCGTTTGTTCGTTCGTTCGTTCGTTCCCTCGTTTCAACGTTGCAAATAAGTATGTATGTACGTATGTATGTATTGCAAGCATCTATCAACTCACTTTTTACCTTCCCTTTTCTGTTCCCTAACCAACAGTTTTGCTCTCCCCCTAACTCCCGCCCATTTGCCTCGCGCCAAAGATACGATTCTGCTTGGCAACACCGCTGCCGAATACCTAGCAACCAGAAGCCGATAATTCCCCCCACCACCCCCCTCTCAACCAATACGCATACACGTTACTTTTAATTTGTATATAGTAACATGTATTAACGAATTATTTAATCGTGTAAATGAATTATTTAGTCATGTACGAATAAAAGATCATTCATCCGGCGAATAATTCAAAAATTATGAAACTCTGATCAGGTAATACCTGTAATGATCAGGTAATTTTAAACGAGACACCGGTAAGATTTAAAAGTTTATCATCGCACGAGTAAGACGTTAAATGTTTACGAGAATGTTTACTTTCCAGTTTGCTTGCAAACGCGTGAGAAGTTGAAGAAAGTATAATTACAAAACCGATAAAATGATGGATGTTCCGTAACTGGAAGTCCTTAAACTCTATAATTAAAAAATATGCGTATACCATGAAAATAAATTTTGAAAAAAAAAAAAAAAAAAAA